AAAATTTACGTCGAAAGTGCATTGCCATTTGCATCAACTCGCAACAGGATAATGTTTTCTTATAAGTAAGCTTAGATTATTAATCTAAGTAAGTAAGGTAAGAAAATCGGTAAGTTTGTTTATACAAAGTGAAGGAAGAATCCGTTGCTCGCAAACCCCAGAACGATGAAAGCTTTAGCACGTGACGATGATGTATTCACAATATTTACCTATTGGTGGTAGGTACAGATACTTGATGGGTGAATTCGATTTCGAAGTAGAAGCACAGAATAAGTACATAATAGTACCAAGGGTAGAAGTTCTTACTGCAATGGGACTATTCCTCTCGTTTCCACCACTGCAACTCCTGTGTAGCCAGGATCTACAGCTGGACTGCCATAAAAACCCAACCAATGAAGGTCAAGTTTGTCCCGGGGGAAAGTTAAACTGTCATTGGACCTGCAACGAAATTAGTCAGAAGAACAGGAGGAGTTCGAAATAAGCTCTTACTGTAAGCGGCCACGGCAAGCTGTAGATCCTGGCTACACCGGAGTTGCACCGGTGGGAACGAGAGGTGGCAATTACTGGGAATAGATAGTCCCGGCCACGGCGCAGGATGTTTTTCAAAGTTAGGAACCAACTACCGACGACTATGGTCTTGTAATATGACTGTATGAATGCAATCCACAACTGAGCGAACTTCACCAGAAGATACTTTCGGTTTTCGGTTTAAAATTCATCTTCTATAATAACTACAGAAATTCTAGTATGAGCAGTTAAAGTAGGCTAACCTAATAGACCTTGATCAGGCGAATATTTTTCATAGTTCGTGGGGGGGATGTCTACGCCTATCGTGGGGGGATGCCTACGATAATACGGTCAAGTGTGTGAGCCTGATACATAGTTATCGACATTATTTTGTTGCAAAACAATTCTGCGTAGACTATCAGGGTATAGTCGAACAAAATACTATAAATACAATTTAACAGAGTAATCTACGAGTCTCTTAAAATCAAATTCAAAACCGTCTATGGTTCGAATTACAAAACAACGGACAAAACTAATTCAAATCTAAGTTTATGACAGATCTTGCCCTGTAAATGTGTCTAACTAGGTATAGAAAATCAAAAGCTACAATCTGCTTGAGAGCTAGGTTCTGTAAAACGCAAAACAGAGACGAAGGTTAACTTGGGTGGACATAGGGTTGCCAGGTCCAAAATCACAAAAGCCGGACTTTGCGTTTCATTTGGCCGGACATTTTACCCTAAAAGCCGGACATGTGATGGGGGGGGGGGGGTGCAATTAGTGTCAGCTCATGAGTGAGTACTATCATCATCGGTTGCTAACCAACATCCTGATGCGTGCGCTTCATATGATTCTGTGTTCTGTGGCTCGACTTTCGCCTGGCGCGGCAACCAAATAAAAAGCCTAACAAAAGCCGGACAGGCCGGACAAGGCAATATTTGGCCGGACGCCTGGCAACCCTAGGACAGCACAATACGAGGCTCTTTCTCTGAATTAAGATTTCTAGCTTGAGCGTGCTCATCTTCATTTTTCTACTCAAGGATTTAATCTAAAGTGAATAGTTCATACTTGATGATATTGCACGTTTTTACGCCAAAAATCTCAATTCAGAAAGTATGCCAGTACTTACTCACATAAGTAAACCTTGCTCGACTGTACCATTAAACAGTCCACGGGGAATCTACTGTTGATATGACGCAAATCTCAAACGAGCTGCGCAAAAAACATTAATAAAACCCTGTTAACCTCATTTATTATGATCAACATTAGATAAACGTAATCATGCACTTGTGGCATACAAATAGCCCTAATATAAATCAGTTCTAAAATATATCACCATTGTTCTTGTCATTCATTGATTACAAACCATAATGATAATTTAGATACGCCATGAATAATAAATAATTAACTTAACACAAATTGAAATCAAATTATAGAACTGGAGGATTTTTTAATCTATACTTATAATAAATCTGTAGGTCAATTCTGTACATGAAATATATTTTCAAAATAACTATCAGGGGGTGATTAGTGATCGATACTGATGCCAAAAATGCAATCAGTAAAATTTTTGTCTGTCTGTCTGTTCCTTATAGAAACAAAAACTACTCGACGGATTTTAACGAAACTTGGTACAATTATTCTTCGTACTCCTGGGCAGGTTATAGTATACTTAGGAATTCCCACGGGAACGGGAATTAGCGGGAAAATCCTTTTGTATGAAAACCGCTTAAGTTAGACGCTTGAAATTTGGCATGCAGGTACCTTAGTAAACTTAAAGCTTAGTTACAACAGGATATTGCAAAATTCCCACGGAAACGGGAGTAAGCGGGAAAAAACATTTGTATGAAAAAATCTAAACCGCGTAAGATAAATGAAGGGGGTAAAACGGGATCCACGCGTACGAAGTCGCAGGCGGCCGCTAGTCACAAATAATATGAAACTTGTTGATTTTGTTTTGATCGCCGGGCAAAAACTATTTTAGTTAGAAAACATTAACATTATTAGTTGGAAAACTGAATGAACGAATAAGAAACAAGCAAGTTTCCTGTTCTCTGCTTAATGCAAATCTAATCTACTCTGGTAATCCCATTTTTTGGTGTGCTCGCTCACCTTCTACTAGGCCCAGTTTTTTGATTCGTAGTTAAAATAACCAATAGTCAAATTTGACAGATGTCAAGTGACAAGTGGTTAAATATTAGAAAAAAATGTTTTTCGAACAATGGTTAGCTTGACTTTTACTACATTTTATAACTATTAGTTTAGATTTTGTTAATATTTAACCATTAGTAGCAAATATTAACAATTAGTTATTTTAACTATGAATCAAAAAACTGGGCCTTAAGTTTTCCTACTCAGGGATGACTTTAATTATTATGAAAAGTATAGTTACCTACTTAATTGTTGCAGTGGTGGGAACGAGAGGTGGGAATAGTCCCGTACCTACTTGATTAATCAGAAAATGAGCCCCAAGCGGGCCTAAGCCAAAAATCTCAATTTAGGTAGGTATATCGGGCCTAATAAGTAATTTAAGTTACACTGATTATTGTAGGTATTTAGAGCTCATGTTAGATGAGAATGTGTTAAAATAAAACATCTTTTTAATTAAGTATGTTTGTATTATTAATAAAATTTCTAACAACTGTAATATAAAATAAAACCTAAATCTTACTCTAAATCACAGTCATTCTTCATTTTCTTCGACCATTATCTCATTAATTTCTCTGTCTTGCGCGAATATTTTTTGAATGTGATCCTGTATCACGACAGCCCTGTGGACTGACATACTCCTCAGTTGCACAGCGATGTGATCAGCAAAGCTTTGGAACTCATCCTCACTCTCCTCTGATGACATTTCCTCTTCTGACGATTCCTCGTCCTCATCCAAGTGTATTTCTTGACCAGTATCTGTCACCAAATGCACCTGCGGAGGCAAGTTCTTATTGATAGGCCCTAAAGATTTTTCATAGACATCTTTTAGCGAATAAACGGTTTGGTCACGGTCTGTCAGACATCCTTGGAGGACAAGTTTCTTCATTGCATCGTAATGCTTAATCTGTGAATAAAAAAAAATTGTTTATTTCTATTGGAATTTGGAAATATAATTCAATTAGGTATAATTTTTAAAAATTAGAATTGCAATAATAAGCATCCAAATCACACAAATCGTTGAGAAAAATTTCTAGATTTATGCGTACAATAAAATTTTCTAGATTTATGCAACTTTGTATGCGAATTTGAAGTCTAATGTCTCAAAGTAGGTAGGTACGCCTGTAGTTATCTGAATACGAGTATCAACCTTGCGATCCTCCATTTGCTTCGTGTATTGCTTGAAAATGGAAAACCAATGCAACGTTGGTTTGTAAAAGAACCCGCGAACTTTAGCCGTGTTAATATTTCTGACTTCAATTCGGTATGCTGCTTTCAAACTTCTGTACTTTCGATTTATGTCCTCTACGGTTAAGTTCCGATCCATCTGGTCGACTATTGCTTGCAGCGCTGCTTCTCGTAATTTTTTGTCACCGTAGTCAGAATGTTTCTTGTCCCATAGCACTGGTTGATGTAGGTATAAATCTAATAGTTGTTGTATCGAATACGTGTCCCAAAACTCCCAAATCATAGTCTAGTTTGTTCTTAAATGTAATAATGGCGACGCGGTGTTATTGGTTATTTACTCAAACGTAGTTTCTCAGTTGAGAAGCTTATGCGTAATGAATGAAATGAATGGAGTAATTTGTTTGTCCGACACGAACCGAGCGGTGACCGTTCGTTCGTGGCCGGTGCGTTCGTTCATACTCGGCGTTGCGTTCTCCGCACGAAAGGGATGGCAAGATACGCTTGAATGCACTGCTCGCACACAAGCGACGCGCTGCTGCCGCGGCATTGTTAGGCGTAGTCCACACAAACCATTTTATTGATATCACGAGAGACACGCGAGTAAATAAATTAAATTGTATGATATTAATTGTGATTCTAACTTAATTAAGCGTTATTACACATTGTTTTGTGTTTCTTTTGTGTATGTGTGGTGTAGCCATTTTTTAATATTTTTTTTTAATTTGTTACAGGTAAGTTGGAGTGAAAAAGAATTATGGATAAAAGCGTGCAAACAAAGCTGGTAACTACTTGAGAATTATAAGAAGCCTAGTAGATAACAGATACTTACCTAATGAGTGTATTTAGTTTTTTAAACTTACTTGAACATACTTACCTTTTCATATTGAATGAGTAATGCGACTTGTGGCATCACCTTGGCACACTTTGTAGAGAGGACTGCTAGTGTTATGCAATCTCGTGCAGCTGTTCCTTCCTTTATGCATGTAAATTGATTTCTAATTATCTAATAACACAGTTGAACCCTTGACTTATTTGCGGCAATTTTTTAACTCATAAAATCAATTTTATTAACGCAATTTACATTAACCAACAAATACCAGGATTCTATTAACTTGAATTTTTTGATTTATAAAAAAAGGATTAAAGGAAACGAATAGTAATTTTACGAAGACAATAATAATTAATCATTTATTTTTTATAGTTCTTTCATAACAGAAGTTAGGTACTTTAGTATCACATGCATACAATAATTAATACTGAATAAAAATTGAATTAAATTACGAAGATTCTTCAGTATTATCACCACCACCCTGTTTTTTGAGCATTTCAATGCGTTCTTTGGCTATTAACGATTGAACTTCAATTTGCAAATTCAATGCCCTATTCAAAGGTAACTTTCTTAGTTGGTGAGCTATATTATTAGCGAACATCTGGAATTCGTCCACTTTATTGCCGGACCTTTTTCTAGAAAATCTTTGAATTTCAACAGTCTTAGGCGATTCTACGCTTCTTGGAGGTTCCACAGATTTAGGTTCGTCATATTTTGTGCGTTTCTTAGGCACTGATTCTAAATAGTCACTAATTGTGGTCTTATCACCATGATTTTCCATTTCGTCTAAAAACTCCTGTTTAATAGACACGACGAATGTGTCTGAGTCTTCCGATGGGACTACTTCCAAGAATGATTCGGACTGAAGATTTGGTTCAGATGGCACCACGGATTCTGTTTCATCTTCGCTGCAACCATCACTTTCATCCGTGCCTAGATCCGTCACCTGGAAAAAAGGTGCGTTTTTAAAAACACTGGCAGTAAAAATCCACAACAATAGGCATTTTACAAAACTCTTTATTTGAGTGAAAAGAAAGTAAAATCAGATAACTTGTCATTAAATATTTTATTTATTAACATTACTTGATACGTATTCATAATTTTAATATTTAATCGAATTCAGTCAAAACTGGATTATTAAAATAAAATAATCGATCAACTTTAAAGATTCCAGTAAACCTGACGAATGGTGTCTATTTTAACAGAGTGGTAACACACTATACCTATTGGCTAGGACACCTAACAAAACAACTAAGTTTCGCGAATTAATGAAGCGCACGTAATGACATAATCATCAAACTCATCTATTTTAGTCACCTTACAATTTTTTATCAAAAATTTAAATTCAACAAAAAAAAACATATAATAATTACACAAGTGTGAACTCGTCTTTATAAAATAAAACAAAAAACATTTTTTTTACCTTTCTATTGTAAATGCTGTTCATAATAGTATTAAAAGCACTAAACCATCGTAACGGCTTTGATGGTTTATTATTGGCTTTGGCAATCGCCATTTTTCTCTTTTCTTGATAATACGACGTCCTCAGATTCTTTATTTTCGATCTCACATCGGTTACTTTCAAATCAGGAATGCTCGGTTTCAACTCCTCCAATATGGCTTCGAATGCTTTCTTCCTGGCTACAGTATTTTTGTACAATTTAGACTCATAATCCCACAGAAAGTCGTATTTTTTGTACTGTTCTATTAGCTTTAACGTATCACGTTCACCCCAACGTGGTCCACTCATTTTTAATCGAAGCACAAAAGAGTAAAACGGAAAACAAACTCACTTCAGAATAAAAGCAGCGTCTGCCGCTTCGAAATAGCATGCTTTTACTGGCAGACTGGAAAAAGCAGCGTTGCCGCTCCGATAGCAGCCGCTCCCTTCGCTGCTACGTACTCTATCGTCGATAGAAGTATGCTCGCGGGTGTGAAAGAGACATAAATATGACGCGTACCGAACGCGCGAAACGTCTCGAAGCGTGAGCTCAATGATCAGTTCACTCCTATGTCCTAGTCATAAAGCTTAAAGTCTGTTAACTGTTTTATCAATGTAACGTTTGATCAATGCTCCCGCTATCTCGCCTGGCACGCTGCTCCACTTGGCTTGGCGATCGCGTGTTGTAAGTAAAACCTTAATCACATAGTTTTAAGAGTTAATTTTGTTATACACGCGCGTGGAGTGATAATTATTTTTGTTTAAAGTAAAGAGCAAATTGTCATGGCTAAAACAAATCGTTTTGTTACGGGGAGAAAATTAAAAAAGGCAAAAAGCAATGGGTAGGTACTTACAAAAGGGTCAAATAAGTACCTACCTAAGTAATAAATCCATAATGGTAACATTTTTGCACGTTAATTAGTAGTAAAGTAATAAAATAATAGAGTAAACGAAATGAGAAAATTGTGCGTCATTTCTATCCCTACTGGTAATAGATACCTACCTACCTAGCTGAAGAGTCAAGAGGTGGATGTTACAAAAGCAAGATGTAAAGTTTGCGGCTGCGGCTGGATTGCAAAATGCCCTAAGACAAGAGACTTTGTATTGCACTGGTAGGGAGTGAGGGGTCATGCACTAATTGCTACGAACAAAAACTCATTTGCATTTATTTTGCTTTGACATTTATAAACAACAGAAGACTTTTATAGTAAGTAGGTAGGTACATACCTACCTAGTTATTTACCAAAAAAGCAAATGAAATTTAGTAAGTAGGTTGGTTAGGTGTCCTACTTGTACACCTACTTATTTAGGATTTACTTACCTATCTAATATAGGTATGATGACCTATAATACAACATACCTACCTAGGTAATGAATGAATTACATAATGTATCTGGGGGCACGGTAGGGTAGTAGTGCCAGAGTAAATAAGTAAATACCTACACTGCCGTACCATCCTTTACTTACTGGAACCATTTCGCCGCATTTTAAGGCCCATATTTGAGAACTTCTCTAGTCACACAACATTAACTATAATAATAAAGAAATCGCAGTAAGGAACCATAGACTTGGCGGACTTTGTCTAGATTTAATTACTTTTTAGAGACAAACAAGCAGCTGCTCCATCGAGACTTGGCTAGTTTTTTACAGAATTTTTTTGGTGGGATTAGAATTTAGAATTTTCGAGGATCTAACTGACACACTTCATGTTCTTTCATCTGGTGTGGTAAATTTTGATCACATTCTATTTTACAAGATTGTATGCTTGACTATTAATTATTAAGTGCTTCATAGGTGAGGTGTGGTTTACCATGAATGTGCGTTTATAGAGCTTTCTCACGATATTAATACCAAACTATATTTAACAAACTGATCTAACACATGCAAATTGACTATCCACGGCATATGACTCATCGGAAGGTCAGTAGGTAGGTACCTATATTATCCGGGGAAATCCATGCGTTTAAGCACTAGCTACTGTAATCATTTTCATCGCAATGTTATGAAACTACAGGTAATTTAGGTGTTATGCTGCCATCTGAGTCATATGACTCATATTTGAGTCAAGTTTGTCTGGGAAGCGAACCCAGAAGCCAAAACGCACTGACAATCACAGCACCACGCTGGGTCGTCTACGTCATTATTCGTTTTGCAAATAACAGGTAGGGTTTTTTTGGGGTATCTTTTTGCGATGGACTGTGCTAGGGTGTCCTTAAAACACAATTAATTTTGACATTGACTAATAACACTAGGTACCTAAATAGGTACATAATAGACGTGCGCGCCGGTCGAAAAAAATCGGGTGGCGGCGCGCCACGAAAAAATCCACGGCGGCGGCGTAACGCCGGCGGCGTGGGATTTTTCAACTTTGTATATTAAGACGTATAATGAAAAACCACGTTTAAACGAATGAACTTTATTAAGTAAACTAAAAAGAAGACTCAACCACTTTTCTTGACAGAAATATTTTGTTTGCAACTTTTATAGTTGTCGTGCACAAAAATTATTTTATTCACCCTAAATGGACTCAGCCGGGACCTTTTGGCTGTTAAAAGCAATCTAGCAACCGAAAACACTCTTTCGCTCGGAGTGCTGGTTGCTGGAATGCATAACAGAGCCTGCGCTAATGACGATAAACGCGGGTAGGCAGATTGTCTGGTTTGCCAGTAGGACAAGATGTCCCCGTCTTCAAGTTCCGCAGGATCAGCAGTAGCTAGGTATTTCCAAGCTTCCTGGTCAACAGCATCATCGAAGCCGGAACCATGAGAACTGTGTTGCATGCTGTATTTGCGCGAGAGTTGGGAAAGTACTAAAACTTTACTTGTACTCGCTTCTTCCTGGTGACCCTCCTGGTGTAATAATGGTTGATTATGTTCGTAGTTAGGGATTAATTCTTTGGTATATTCTGCCAAGAAACCAACTGGAGTTAATTTGTTAGCAGTCAGATGGAGGTCAACTTCTCCAAGCTTCATAAACCTACAGTCTGTAGCTGTAATAATGCTGCAGCAACAACAGCCTTACTGGCTGGGAAGCGTGTGTCCAGTTTCATCAACATTTTCCTTTTTAAGGATGTTATTATAAGCGACTTGTCATCATCAATCGAATTAAGCACGTCTTTTATTTCGGCTTTAAATACGAGAGCAAGGTTGACTGTGCTCGATTTTGATGCTGATAAAATTTCAACAATTTGCCGAAACTGGCTCAGAAAATTGCATAAATCCTCTAACAAAATCCATTCTGCTTAGGAAATTGTCATACCATCTTGCCCTATCCGACGTATGATGCTATTTATCGGGTTCCTATTACAACAGCTTTAGCTACAACGGGTTTAGACGGATTAGCAAGCTGAAGTGGCAGTGGGCAGGGCACATAGTACGCAGAACTGACGGTTGATGGGGCAGCAAGGTTCTGGAATGGAGGCCGCGTACCGTACTGGGAAACGCAGCGTGGGACGTCCAGCCACAAGGTGGACCGACTACTTACCTGATAAAGGTAGCAGTAAATCGCTGGATGCAGGCCGCTACCAACCGTGCGATGTGGAAGTCATTGGGGGAGGCCTATGTTCAGCAGTGGACGTCCTGTGGCTGAAATGATGATGATATTACAACAGTGTGCCATCATTTCAGCCAAATGACGTCCACTGCTGGACAAAGGCCTCCCCCAAGGTTTTCCATAATGAACGGTCCGGCGCTGCCCGCATCCAGGCCCTTCCCGCGACCTTTACCAGATCGTCGCTCGTTACACCGTACTCGCCGGCGAGTACGAGGCCCTGCTTTCCATTTCGGACGGTACAGACATGTACCGGGCCGGTTCTCCCCTATCCGTCCCCCGGACACGGCCTGAGCCGAGGTTCGGACCTCGGCTCAGGCCGTGTCCTGGTATAGGCTCGGTATAGGCTCGGGCCTACCGTGGCGCCCTCAGGCCACGTCCGTAGTCCCCTCGATCGGGCCCACTAGAGTGAGCCCGCCGTAGGCTGGACTTTGGTCCAACACCGCGGTGGGCAACCCTCTAGTTGGGTTCGCCACTGATCGGGCGCCTTATGCGCTCGATACGGCCCGATCGCGAACGTCGGTCTGCGACCGACGAGGCCGTGTGTGGGCTTCGCGAAGCGAAGCCCAGGCTCGTCCGCACGCGCACCGACGATCGCCAAACGGCTAGAGTACCTTCTGTACTCGCCACTCTGCCCGGTGCAGCTGGAAAAGCTCTTCAAGCTATCAGCGCGCGTCCCTTCAAAAAAAAAACCAGATCGTCGGTTCACCTAGTAGGAGGCCTGCCCACGCTACGTCTTCCAGCCCGTGGTCGCCACTCGAGAACTTTCCTGCCCCAACGGCCATCGTCTCTACGAGCTATGTGCCCCGCCCACTCAAGTCAAAAGTCTTTGACCAGTGTGTGTTGCCAGTGATGGTATATGGATCTGAGACATGGTCGCTTGCTATGGGCCTCATAAGAAGGCTCAAGGTCATCCAAAGGGCGATGGAGCGGGCTAAGCTCGGAGTTTTCCTGCGTGATCGAATCAGAAATGAGGAGATCCGCAGGAGAACCAAAGTAACCGACATAGCTCTCAGAATTGCTAAAATCAAGTGCGCCATACTTTCGAGCATTTCTAAGACACTGTCACAAGACACTGTGCCATCTCGTTGGAGTAGAAGTTTTACTTAACTGTAGGTATGTTTGCCAAATTTCCAAATAAGGCACGAGCTTCTGTCTCTCTACCACGTCTTCACTGTCTTCAGAGATTGGATCGTTTTCATCTTCCTCTATTACTTGAGAAACAGTCTCCAAAGAGTTTTGTTTCGGCGCGAATTTTATACTACCGGCGGCGGCGGCGGCGCGCTGACTCCTTATGGCGGCGGCGCGCCGCGGCGGCGCGCACGTCTAGTACATAACCCTCCTTCTGGTGCAGACGGTAATAAGTAAATAGTTAAAAATCTAGTTCTCACTAATTAATTTCACTCTTTCTTAATTATAAGTAGCATAAGGTAATTCATTATTTTTAAATAAGTAAAACTAGATCCGTTTAATTATTTTTTGGAAATTGTAACATTTAGAAAACTTAGCCGTACCGTCGTAGCTTCTGTAATCAGAGGGCATAATCTTTTAATCTTTGATTTAGGTAGGTAGGTAAGTAGGTACGGTCGACAGCACGTCAACGTAAACACTGCGGTATCTTACGTAGTTGCAATAGGGGCGAGTTTGCAACGAAAATGTATAGCTTGATGTGCTGTCGACTGTACCTACTTGATCTTTGTTTTTATCACGTGACGTTACATTATGTAAGAAAGGACAGTACCTATTGTAAGTGTTACGCATATTATCGTTTAGCCTTCACCTTTAAATGAATCTAATGCTGTTACATACGAGGCCAAGCCAGTGCGTTTCTTTTTATACTTACCTACGTTATTTTTAACAACGTCCCTGTCCTGTGCTGTGCGTCGTTTGTGTGGACAATACGATTATTTTACACAAATTGTAAAGACAATAATGATTAAAAAAATATATTAATAAATCTAAGAA